TATGATTGTCCTCATACAAACTAACCATATGATTGTCCTTATACAAACTAACCATTTGATTGTCCTCATACAGACTAACCATATGATTGTCCTCGTACAGACTAACCATATGATTGTCCTCATACAGACTAACCATATGATTGTCCTCATACAGACTAACCATATGATTGTCCTCATACAAACTAACCATATGATTGTCCTCATACAAACTAACCATATGATTGTCCTCATACAAACTAACCATATGATTGTCCTCATACAAACTAACCATATGATTGTCCTCATACAAACTAACCATATGATTGTCCTCATACAAACTAACCATATGATTGTCCTCATACAAACTAACCATATGATTGTCCTCACACAGACTAACTATATAATTGTCCTCATACAAACTAGCAATATGATTGTCCTCATACAAACTAACCATATGATTGTCCTCATACAGACCAACCATATGATTGTCCTCATACAGACTAACCATACAATTGTCCCCGTACAAACCAACCATATGCTTATACTGATTGTAAATTATTTCCGTCGAATATTTTACAAAGCGATTGTTTTGTTCGGTTGTTCAGCTGATAAGCTTTTCAACGTTAGCTTCGTATTTCAATTTCCATACATGTTTATCAAAGCAGTTCGTATAAAATGTGCGCCTACCATTAACTCAACATTCTCTAGGATGATCACGTGGTGAATTTGGCGTTGTACTATGCTAATTCGTACATACACCGGCGGGGCGGCGGATGCAGACTGGAACGTACTTTACCGTGTATTTTACAATAATGCATTTTAAATTGTTCATGCAAATTTTTAATTATTATAACAGTTCTACCTCCTTTTTTTATCGTCATAGCTATTTGGACCGGTATGATACAAGGAAATATGCTGAGACATGCATGTAACATAAGCTAAAGAAATATATGTATTGTTGTTTGAAGTCCCCGCTTAGACCATAAATAGGGGTTTTAAATTGGTTATCGAGTCCTGAATTTGTTGCAACGACTTTTTTGAGCGTCTATGGATCAGGTACATACGCATTTAGAAGCATCAGCGAAACATGGAGGCAAGGTCTTGAACTTAAAAGATCTGTACCGGTAATTATGATTAAATCCCAATGACGGACAAGTCGTATCTATAGAAGCTTATATGGCAGTCGTCTTTCTGCAGCGCAGCTCTTTCTATGGGATTGTAAATAAATTGAACAGAACAGAAAATTGGTAACACAACAGGGGAGATTAACATCAGCCAAGTTAACACTGGAATAAAGTACATACCCCTCTCCTACAGACAGAGTTAACAGAGGGACTACGGTCGTGATGTGTAATCCTCCTCGTAGATAAATAATTAACACAGTTCCTATTGGATAGGGGTATGATTGATAGTCTCAAACTTAATGACAAGAGGATGCTTTGCGTTAGACGAAGAGGGGGGACCAAGCCTTGATGCGAGAGGGGTTAACCTTGATTTTGGAAGTTTTCAAAACATAAGTCTGAGATAGCGTTTTGGCAGCTAGGAGATGATGTTAATGAGGAGAAAACAAAAAATGCAACGATGACGTCATTGGCGATAAATGTGAGACAATGTGAACTTAAAATATTGAAATCTTGTAAAACATGCCCGCAGAACACTTGATATCGAACGAAGACCGATTATTGAAAAAGGTAATGTGGTTTTGAGTACAATAACTTTGGCGAGTTCCACAGAAAAGTGTACCTCGTGACTTGGAAGGCTATATCAAGACAAGCATATAGTGACTACACACTATTAGGATCGCTTTACTGGCAATATTAGCGAGGATGAGCTGAAAGGTTTCATTTCAGTTGTACCACGGACATAGTCATTAGGACGTTACACACATCGATTTTCTTCGCGCCGTTTTCGAGGCTTAATATGAGTCTGTGATCTCAAAATCATGTATGTATGATAACACTCTGGTCTTAAACACTGGAGATGCTGGTAGTGGTCTTGTTCGGGCGAGGCGCTCCGGGACTGTCATCATACCTTCCGGTCGTACCTAGCAGCAAATGTGGGTGGACATGTGACTTTAGCGTAAGCTGTATTGGGCGGTAACCATACCTACCTAGCCCGGGCACGCCGTCCAATCAGCATACATCCTCTGTGCAACCTCTCTTACGTTTTTCCTTTAAAAGTACTGTAGCATTCTAGGAAATGATTAAAATCCGGCAATTTGACGTATAGTGCCTGTGTTATAATATCAACATGAAGAGGCTGTGTTTCTTGTTCGTGTATGTCCCCAGAGTGACAGAACGCATTCTTGTGGTCTATCGTATCTCCGATAACAGTTAAAGATTTGCTAATGATCCATATTTAATTAAACAGACGACACAGGTCCGTATTAGTGGTTACGGCGGACACCTGCTGCACAGGGGATACGGACAACGGAATGGAGGCCCAATGGATACGGATGTTGCTAACATTTAACACGTCAACCAATATCAGTGAGTTCCTTGGGATGTTAGATGGATTCGGATTACATCAGACTCGCCTGGAAGCTGAAACTATTACCCTAACATTACTGTATATACCAATATTTCTGCTGGGCATGGTCGGCAATATCTTCATTGCACTCATCATTGCCTCCAATAGACACCTCCGAAACTCCACAAACTTGTATCTAAGTAACATGGCCCTAGCCGACTTGTGCGGTAAGTATTCTACAATGTTTGCAATTTTATATTATTTGCAGCAAACGACATTTCCATGTACAATGTACAGCAACGTTTTTGTATGACAGTGACCTATCATTGACAAAGAAACTATGGTTTGAACTCGAGTCTCTTTTAGTGATCTGTAGCATGCCAATATGTGAAAACCATTTTTTTCATGTTTTCACATATTGGGTTGTTTTCACATATCGGCACGCTACAGTGGTCTCTGCATCTCTGAGGTACAATGACACCGTAGTTTGAATTTGTTCACAAAATGTTACTCATTGGTGTGAAATGACATAGTGTCAGCTGTGATGATAACTTCTTAATCACCAACGTTATTATAGGATCACTTACTGCACCTCTGTACTACTGAATAAATAGGGTACGGGGGCATTGCCCTAAACTTCTATAAATCAAGCTGTCGTTCGTTTGTTCTTTAAGTGTGTCTTGAATTCATAGAGAACCTTTTTGTCCGAAATGAAAAAATTGACATCTCACACTGTCACGTGGGGTTCTTCAAACTTTGCTAAATTAATAATTTTGAATTTTGATAAGCCATGGCTTATTTTAATTTTTATCAAAAATGTCGTCTGACGTTTGAAGCAATTGAAACAGTACAACTCACAAGGCATCGTTGTATTGCGTTCCAATTTCCTATCTGCTGAGCAATATGTTTAATTGCAAAAAACCTGAATTAATATACGTGCTTTTTTCGTTACAATACTAGAAATCTGTGTATATTAAAATAGAAAAAATGAGTTATAACAAGAAAATGCAGCAAAGCTGCTGGACACCAAACCTGTTTATGAAAATGACTTACTGACAGTTCATCAACCACGAGGGAACGAATCCTGCATACTTGAAACTATTTAATCATAATCATATAAATTTGTAAATGACATTAATTGTGTTGTTCAGAATATTCCGTTCACGCTCAATATCCAGCTTTAACCGCACGTTTAGGCCAAATGTCAATGATTTGGCAATAACGTCATCTTCTGAGAGAGAGAATCCGGGACATAAGACGATTTACATAAAAGATCCTTCACACCTTTTGTCAAAATTGCAGCAATTTTTTCATATGATTCTTTTGACAATGTCACTTTTCGACTATTTTGGATAAAATATCAACCATTTTCTAGGTTAAAGGGTCAATCGTAGCCCCCCGCCCCTTTGAATAATAGTTATTACTTCTCGAGATTTGCAACGAAGACATATTTTGCCACAACGCTGTTTTTTTTGGTTGTTATCACATATTCGTTTTATACAAGTGAACTATGTTAAATAATTCTCCAAATACGGAAGTTTATTTGCCCTTTTGTTGTTATTTTATGAAAAGCATTGAATATCTATATATATACATATATACAACATTTGATGTAGCGCCCAATCTAGCTAACATAAGCCACTCTAAAGCGCTTTACATTACATAAATATACAATTAATACAATAAGCATATACATGTACATTAATTCAATACAATTTTTAATGAGGAATTCGCAGGAGCTGCCTTATCAGGCGCTAACTACTAGCCATATGCCACCTGGCTAATATCTCCCCATATGTGTATGCCTGCGTGTGTGCTGGAAATGTATACGTAATGTTGTCTGTTTGTAGCGGGACCGTGCTTCAAACGGTATAATTTATAGTGCCACCTTGCTTGAATGCTACAGCACAGATACCGCTACATCCACCCCAGACAAATTTATACTCCATCTGGGTTGTTGGAGTTGTATAGGCAGGAGAAAAACACTTTCTCTGAATATCCATGCGTATGACGACTTCGGAGATCGAACGCCGGCCGCATGGAAGGCCGTAGTATTAACTTTGACCACTCGACCAGTCCGCCAATATTGTGGACTCTTTCAAATCCAAGTTAATTTTTAACATATGACATATTGATCAGAACGACTTTAACAAAAAGGGGCCGAAATTGCCCCTATCCCAATATGGGGACACATATTTTGAAATAAAATTCCACAGCTGGCAGGGGTTAAGGGGGCGATGGGAGATAAGGTATCCTGGTTTAACCCCCTCATCTAAACTTGAAACTGAACATCTACGCAGAAAATATAATGTACCGTTCAGATTGAACAATACTTATAAATTGAAGTTTTTACTTGTGAAGATATAATGTTTCGTTTATCTTCACTGCATTAAAGGTATGTTTTTATTAAATAGAGAATTCATGATATTTCACAAGTAAACTGCAATAAATACCGATACCGTAGGGTTTACCATCATATTTGTGTAGACAGTATGCGGCTTCAATTTCCCAGAAGGCTTTCACTCATGGGGAAGCACCGGAAGTGGACAAAGTGTTTACAGATCAAACCCCGGCGGCGCTTTGCGCCGCTTGGGGGTTTGAAAAAAGGTGCATATGCGTATTTGGTTTCAATACAGTTGCAAGAAACAAATAGACCAAGCATAAATAAAAGTATAATTCGCACTCTTAATTGATAAAACAAGCGAAAAAAATGTGAACATATAGAGACCTTTAAAAAAGTACAAAGAGAATAAGACCAGGGGTTCCGGAAGGGTAAGCGTCTTCTGCTTCATCGACGGCAGTCGCCATGTAAATTTAGGTCAAATTCAAAAAATATCATGTCCTCATACCGAGATTTCACGTAGTGAGAACAGAACCACGGGAATTGTGATGTGGAACATAAAACATAACCATGGTCTTGTCAACCCTGTGTTGTAAGTTTGTCCGTCAGTAGTCGACATCTATCAAGGAAACCCTGTGTTGTAAGTGTGTCCGTCAGTAGTCGACATCTATCACGGAAACCCTGTGTTGTAAGTTTGTCCGTCAGTAGTCGACATCTATGACAGAAGCCATACTATCCGAAGCCAGATCTAGAATGATGCTTCTAGACAATATGTTATACACTCAGCCCATCCCTCTGGTAGACAGAAATAGGGCGTTTATCATCACGACAAACAATTGACTACAATAAATGCGAGACATGTTCTCAAGTCCAGTCTACTTGTGAGATATGCTTGACTGCAAAGAACCCATGGCCTCTCGAGTTTATCATAAAGAGTTTAGAGCATACTGGATTTCTCAAAACATTCACTCTGATTTCTTCTGATACACACTCCTTAAAATACTTTATAGTGGACGTGTTCGCCTTTAAGTCTTCGCTGAGTGACTGTGTAGCTTTATTATACAGCATCTAGCTGCACTATGCCTGTAGTTATTTATAGTATAAACAGAGTGCGGCACCTTGTGTGTTAAATTGCACAGCTATAATTAAAAACTTAAAGACATGTCAGATAATCCCTTTAACATTATATATTACTGGTAAAATCGAATTATTTGAGTTGCGGGGTTGACGAAGTTGTTTACATCTAAATCAACAGGTTAATCAAGTTTTCCAAAACGACTTAAGTTGCGAAGATGTCAACAGCAGCCAATTTGCATCACTTTACTCAAATATATTAGTATTTATTTCAACTTATTTGCCGTCTTTGTTTTGAGGTTTTGTAAAACAAAACCACGTGAAAAATCAAGTGAAACACAAAAACACACAGCGGATGTATACTGACAGTTGGCTCACAAATGCATTTTAAAAATTAATTTGACGTCATTATTTTCTGAAAATAATCATGCAATAATTTCCTGAAAAGATTTATTTGTTTTGTGAAATTGTTGAAATCAGTGCAGTTGTATTTAGTGTAAAAAGAGAAATAAAAGTACAAGTTTTTGAATAACTTGTGATTTTGGTCTGGCGAAGGAGAGGCAACTCTGCTTACCTTGCGATATCGTTACCATTTTAATGGTAAATGTTTACGTGGAAATCCATCGATGCAAAAATACCAGCTGCTTCAGATTTGAACCGGTGACCCTTGGAACATACCCTTTCCCTTCTAGGCGATAATTACCCTCATTAAATATTAGAAGGTGACATTTTCGTTCGGGATGCGATTTTCAAAAATAATGAAATTTCTGCTTACTCTGTGGTGAACATCGTTGAACTTAGCTGTGCTGATAAGGTCACGGCGGGTTGGCGTTGGTCGTCCCCAAGTCATCGCCCTACAATAACTGTGATGGATGTTTAAATAATGAACTAAATAAAAACACGGAATCCTGTATCTTAAATTGACGTTTGAAAGGGAATTCGGGACTTTTTGTGCCTTTTCATTATCCGTTATTGCAACTCCCAAACGTTGCCATTGAGTCGATTGTCATACACTTACCGAAATCTTAAATGAATTTTATACACAATATCGTTGTTATTGTATTAATTACCGGTGCCTATTACATCAGTGGTGGTATTGTCCGCAATCGTCTATAACGAACCTGACCTACTGCTAATGTAAATAAGATTAGCTGTTATGGTAATTGTTAAGGAAACGGATTTAGGTCAATCATTGATGCAAAGATGACCAACGATACGAACAAGCAGATTTATATATTTAGCTACAGGGGCTAGTCTGCGCTGTTGGAATAAATCAAAACGATATCTAATAGCCTGTCCCTTAATTCTGAATGCATTCCGTTCATCTGTCGAAAGTAGACGATTGAACAAAGTTATTTCGCAATGTAAATATACAATAGGTTAAAAATATATGTTTATTATTTATCTGTTATTTTATGTTTTATTTTATTTTTTATTTTTATTATTTCATTTTTTTATGATTTTTTTTTTCTTTTTTTTTCTATTGTTCATTGCAACCATTTTTTTCATTTTTTGAAAAATGATTCAAGCTTTTCGATTTCACACTGTCATTGGTCATCGAAAGACAGGGCTTACTATACACATACAAATATACTATTTGACACATGTATTATATACGTACGATAAACAAAGAAGAAGTAGTGTTTTGTTGATACAACGTAAACGGTTGTTTCTTAGGCTGCGTTTGTTTTGAACACAAACAGTAACTAAAGACATTATCAGCGAGCTTTCGAAAACGTATGTTTCCTTTATCAAGCAAAGAGTGTACATAACCGGTCTCGACTTTAAACCGCTGAAAACAACTCGCTGAGC